CCGGCCGGCTCCTACGACCTAAGCAACTAAGTGCGAAATCCTGGTCAGTGCGGGGAGAAGAGTAGCTTAGGTAAATGAAGACCGCGTTTCCTTCAAGATTTAGGAGGAACTGGGCGTTTTCTCTCGAATTGTGTAAGGGGTCCGAACAAAGTTCGTGCTGAAATGCGGCCTTCCGTGAGCAAAACCACCGTGTGGTGTGTACGTCAGCAGAGCAATAACATCTTCAGCGGATTGATGAAGAGCGTTCCAAGATTATTTGAGCGCTACAAGATCGCACGTCTCCATTTCAGCGTGGAAAAGGGCTCAACTTTATGAACGAAGGTGTGGCTGTTCAGACCCTTCGCGATCTTGGACTCTAGCTCCTTGTTTCGTGCTACAGGTGATCTGAGATCGACGTGAAAAAGTTTATTCTAGGTGGATCTGATAGAAAAAAAGGTACAGGAGGGTTCCGTGAAATCGCAGATGGTTTTGATGTAAGGTAATTTTGGCGGAAGAATCCCTTATGGTTTGAGGCACCTTTGAACGACTGAGCGGCTAGAGCTCGTATTTGTTTCCTTTCAAGAGGATTCCATAGGGTATCGTGAAGTTCTTCTGAAGCGACTGTTACCATCTTTCCGACAACAGCTCCCTCGAACCTTGATTTTTACGCACGATAACGCGGCTGTCCATGCCGGTCCTTCCACGCCAGATGGAATTGTGGGAAAAAATATGGCAGTTACCTGGTGGCCAACATGTTAGCTGAATCAGATTCCAATAGAGAATCATAAGGCCTTAATTGTTATAAAGTTTCCACAGCAAAGAAAAGCAAAATGGAACAGCCGAAGAGCTGAAAACGTCGATCATCGGCGCACAGACAAATTTCGATCCTACTGTAATAGCTAATTTGGATTACCAGCATTCCAAAACGTATTATTGTGTTCCTTATGACTATGGGAGGACCATCCCATTGTTGAAAATTTGTGACGTTTTTTGTTATAATAAAATCTCTCGACAAGTGATGTGTAGTCATATTTGCGAAACGGTGAAAATACGTTCTAAGGAAGATATTTTAATAATTCTGAATCGAGATTTCTCCAGAAATCAAGTATCAAGGTTTTTCGTTATGGGGAAACTATTGGTAATAGCGGCATTTTCCAAAAATGCACAGCAACTTTGGAATAGCAAAAAATTAGGGTGGACCTATATTTATGAAACGCAGTGTATAAGAATGGTGACAAAAGACTTGTGGCCTCAGTCCACATCAGAAGGTCGAAGCCAGCGAAAATGACCATATCCTTTCTGACAAATTTGACGATTCTCTTCTAACTCCCCCCCCCCCCCTTCCCCTTACGGAAATATAGCTAGAGAGGCCTTAGACAGCGCTTCCTCATCAACGCACGCCTAAATTCACCTGCACGATGAAACTGTGTGAGCACTGCTCACAAGTTTAGCGACCGTTCATGAACGAAAGCTCATAGCGTCCGTCACGTATCAGATTATTTCGCACAATTCGAGTGTGATATTCGTGCTTTGAAGACAAAATCACTCCTAGAAACAGATTTCTAGCCAATTTCTCCGAACCCCCCACGAAAAGTTGGGCCATCATTCATTCATCATCGATCTAACCTTCATCGAAGCCTGGTCTCGAGATGGGGTACACCACTGGGTCACCATTTCCCTCCAACTCAGCTTCGACAGTAAAGTTACCATGGATTACCAGCGTATGTACAACGTGATACCGCTTAGTCCATATTGTTGGTAAAACGCAAAGATGGAGGCTCTATAAGATGTTACCATTTTTACTTTAGCATCAAAGCAGAGTTGGAGTGAAATGATGCTCCCAGGTGCAAATGGTAGCACAGTTGCCCGGAAAGCATGGGATTCGGGCACGAATCCCGCTGCGGCGAAAAGCTTTGCCCACATTTCAGCATTCTTGTGGTTTGGCAACACGAACTGCAGCGCGAAAGAGCAGTTATCCATTAAAAACAAGTCAAAAACTTCACATTACGTTCTGAATAGCTTTGTAAGTTGAGCTGAAGTCAATCAACGGGGAAATACATCGCTAAGTACATATGACAGTGATTTTCATACGATTTCAACTTTTCTGGCTCCATTTGGGCATGCAGGGGAATCATGCACTTGCGTTCTGCCTCAAACACAATCTTCTTGAAGTTATCGGTCGTTACTGGGGTCGCTATCACATTTCTGATGACTGTGAGCGAATTCAGTTGAAAGGTTGGATGTCTGTGTTCGGTCATCGCTAGTATTGCTGAATGTGGAAAAAGTAAGCCCATGACAGCGCCCCTGGCTCCACAGCTGGATTCAGCCTGCGAATTGCCTTATGTGATAACATGGACCGCGTGGAGTTGGAAGAAAAACCTCCATGACCTCAGTATAAGAGTTTCAGGAAATTTGGAGGGCAGCTTTAAAAGCACGTTTCAAGGTGCATACAGAATGCATCTTGTACCTGAATAAGCAGTAGCGACCTAGGATCCTATCCTTGTGAGGCAGAGTTCACCCCATAGGCCAGCATTCCAACGATGACTTTCCCTTGCGTATCGCGGTTAGAAGCGGCAAACGTATCGAGCTAAAGGTTCTCTTCGATAACTAAACGGGAATAGACGAACCTGAGATAGTGGCGAAAAGCAAAATTAACGGGGAAAAAAAGAAGGACCTCTATGAAAAAGCGAGAAGTAGGTGCTTCTTGATACGGAAGCAATGGGTAGCAGAGTCAACCGTCACGTTCGCACTTTTTTTTTGAAATTTTTGCAGCCCCTCCCCTCTCGAGGAAGTCAACGTGCGACCCCATGTGGCTAAAAACCAACCGTCATCGAGCCGTACAGTCCATATTGGAGAGCTAGGGTAGTTGTGCCACCAGAAGTGATGTGGGTGTTGCCGCTTTCGAAGAGTCGCGTAGCTCTTACCAGCATGCGTGCTGATGATACGTAGGCGATGTAATTTGGACAGCGCGCTCATCCGCATGATCATCTATTCAAGTGCGGCTAATGAGCATCGTCAATTCAAATCGTCAGCCAATGAAGCACATGCAGCACTTCGCGCGCGCATCGGGTAATGGTGACTTCTGTGTAGATCTTGGCTTTACAATCCATGTCCATAAGTTGCGCGTGGGCCTAGGTAATTGGTACGACCAGAGTGCTAGACATCAGTAAGCCAGCAAGCGTCACTTCAAGATCTCCGCAGTGATTTAAGCCTCGCAGTACAAAGTTGTACCATGTAAAGGTTGTCCTTTTGGATTTAATTTGACTTCTTTATTAATCAGCTGCCTGAATTTCTATTAGAGAGTGATAATCTGGTTTAATCACGAGGAACATTATGTTCCGAGACGACCCAGGGGAACGGTGAGGAAGGCTCTGAAATGAGCATGATAGGATCACTTTACAAGTAATGTTAGAGACAAGGAGCCTGCATTTGATGGGACAGGTTATTCATATTCCATGTTTCATGACTGGACTTCACCTATTCCCGTATGCCTAAAAGCTTGGATGACGAATTCTAGTAACGCAGCCGCGACATCGCGAACGGTGGCGGCTGGCGCTGCGACCTAGCTACTGCCACGATTGAATCGTCACGCACCCAGTGCGGCCTGCCGTGCTACCCCAACTCTCGGACCTGTATGCCTTGAGGCATTAAATATCAATAAACTGAGTAGCGTAGTTTTTCAGCGGATGACTCTTTCTGGTGTGCGTCTGAGCTGCTAGTGATTTTTTTACCACTATGATTATCATTTTGCAACGGCGGATCCGCCTCAATGCAATTTAGGAGCAACATGAAGAAGCACTTCATAGCCAAATCTTAGATCTAACAGACTCATTGGTGATGCCACTCAGTTCCCTTGACACTCATAATCTAGATGTGAATCTCGTTAGGATTTAAAATTAAAGCTAAAAACCAGATAGGGTATGCGAGAAAATTTCGAATTTT